CACTCACAGATCCCTTACGTAAGAAACAGGAAAGAATAAGAAGGCCTTTACATGTTCCATGTGCAGAAGATGGGAAGAATATGGGCTGTGGCATCATAAAACAAATGGAGGCAACCCCGAACAGTTAAAGAAGGGGGACGTCTTCTTTGTGCCAGGTCACCTGCAGAATATAAAACTGTTGCAAACAGGGATCTACTATTATGGATCTATTATTCATCATGTTTTATGAAGGGAGAACTCATATTTGGAGACTGTATGTGATCATTAACCAATGCCAAAGTTTAATGTGTCAGGCAGTATCAACACAAGAGTAGTTGTAGGACATTTTTTTCAGTTCAGCTCCAGATTTTGCTTGCAGCTTTAGCAAGTCTTCCCTTTGGCCTTCTTTTTGCCTTTCCCTTTCCTTTAGTCTGTACTTAAAATTAAAAGCCACTTTGTTATACATGAAGAAAAACAGTGTTACGTAGGCACTATAGCAAATAAGAAATATGAAATAGCTGTTCACTTCTTAATACTGAAAATAGAAAAATGAACATGGAAAATCCTGTACTCTTTGCAGCATAGGAAATACACGTGCCTTTTCTTACACTTTTGAAGACATTGCTCCTTCAATCGCAGGCAGACGTTACAATGGATATTAGATAATAAACAGGATTCATATCCTTGGCACTCAGTCAATTAAAAGAAATACCAATTGCATTCTGCGAATATTCCCATGGTGCCAAACCATCAGAGGAGTTGGTGAGTAGGAGGAGTGAAGGTGTGATAACTGAAAGAATTGCTACTTGATAAGTCACAGGAGCTAATGTGTTAGCTCAGCATGCGGGGAAGCTAGGACGTTCCCAGCTGCTGCAAAAACTGGGTGTATGCGATCCCTGGCACCACTCGTTGGGACAAGATGAATCACAAGCGCTTCGGTAGCGAGCTACCATGTCACAGTGAGCCAGATGGAGGTGGTTACTTCTCTGATTGATTGCCTCTTGGGCTACCAAGGGCTTTTCCAGCAGGCTAATGCCTTTCTGTTGGCACTCGAGTGCCTGGGAGCAGTGAGTCCGCTTGGGTCAGCATTGCGCAGGAATTCCTCCCTTTCGGGTGCATGGCCACCCCGCAGGGGCAGAGGGAAGTAAATAAGGAGGAAGGGGGAGCGAGTGACTACAACGTGCACCAAAATAACACTGACTTCTGATGCCTCCATAATAGACCTTGCTGCTAATGAATTTTCAGGCACGTGCTGAGTTAACGGGGGTGAACAACATTGAAACATCCCTTAGTTAAATCCAATGCTTTACAAAGGCTAATTGAAAAAGGAAGGAGCAGCAGGGGTGGGGTGGGGGGAGAACAAGTGGGGAGAGGGGGCGGAGGGGGAGAACAGCTCTATTTTTCACGTGCTGAATATGAAATCCCTGCAACAGATGAGTTTACATGCAAGCCTGCACCTCATCAGGGCAAAGATACAGTGAGTGGAGTCAAGTAATTTTCCTCTGCACACAGCATCCCCAGCCCCTTACCCTGCCCAGCCAGCTTTCTCAACTGTGAGCTTTAGAATATAAACAGCCAATAAGTAAGGACAATAACTGTAGTTCCTGCTGAGAGCTAACTCTGCCTGTCATGCATTTGCTGGGTCCTAATACAGGACAGTGAATAAAGCTTCATTACAGAACAATGGAGTTAGCTGCCAGAGCCTACAGATTTGAATAAACAACAAATAAGCAACATCTGCTCCAGCATATGTGTATGGTAAAAAAAAAGTCACAAAATAAAAGAATTTGTAAATGCCAAAAGCAACACTAAACTGCCAGTGCTACTGTAGAGTGAATTTTTAATTGCACATGCATACAGGCAGGCTGTGGGTATTAGTCTCACATATGTCTGGTTGCTGCCAACCTGGGAGTATAGATGAATTTAATTAAATAAGGATTATCCCTTCTCCCCAGTACAATTACTTATTTATAACAATGATAAAATTGCCTAATAAAAAAGATTGTAATATTTTTTAAAACAGAGCTAGAAAACACTCTGCTTTTCCTGTAAGTCATTCAGAGATGTTTGGGAGGTTTGAGCGTCTTTTAAAATTAAGTCTCAGCATTCTGCCAAGAGAGAGGGAAAAAAAGCCTTATCATAAAGCCTACTGCAGTTAAACAGCCAGAATCTACATTATGGAGAAATATAAAGAAGACACACAGCAGCCAGGGAATTGGCTTTCATGGGGAGTGTAGAAAATTAAGCAATTGGACTAAAATTGAGGCCAGGCTACAGAGCCAAGGGACAATACCACTGGGACGAGTACTTCCATAAGTCACCCGTCTCTAATATGCTCCATCTAGGCAAAGCAGTCTGTTCCTATCTATCTCTATTTCTTCTCATAGTGGGCAACACACACTTTCCCGCTCAGGTGAGCTCCCTTTTCAGCAGGGTCATGTCAGGCTCTCACGTCTTCATCATCACTCACACCCTTTCCAACAGAGCCCACGACCAAACAGGAGTGGGCCGTTACAGTATCAGGCACTGCATGAACATTGAAAAACAGTCAGCCTGTGCCTCAGGGAATTTGAAGGCCAAATGTGAATTCCAGCATGCTCTTCTGGGAGCTGATGTTTTCCTTGTGTAGGCTCCTGATGGACTCTATTTCTCACTCACTCCTATTTTGAGGACCCCTGCTTATAGGTCTGAACCACATTCTGCTGAATTTGGTAGGAACCTTCTTAAGAGCTAGGTATTATTCACTACTAACAATATTACATTCACAACTGGCAATTTTTAGACTGTTTCCATGATGCACAGCAAGTTGAATTCACAACAAAACTCCCATGGCTATGGAGGGGTATGTCATTTAAAAGCAGTGGGAAAAGAGAGAGAGAATATGAAAAGCCTGTAAAAAAAAGCCGGAAATCTCCACTTTAACTTTAGGCCATCAATGACACTAAAACAACAAAGAAAGAGAGAGAGAGAGATATTCCAGTGTTTAAACAAAACTGAAACAGTATTATGGTTCCACAAAGGCATTAATCTTATATAATTTCAGTTTACTTGGATGATTTTGATTGATCGCTTAACTGGATGACAGCCTTACCCGAATTAAAAACAAATAATTACTTTCTGCATTTTCTGTCATGAAATTGCTACTAAATACATGCTTATTCCTATGTCTTAAAAGAGTATTCAGGGCATGCAATTGTTATTTTCCCCTTACATTTTGATTGATATACCTATACAATCTGCTAAATCCTTTAACTAATGCCCATCATCATTAAATAGCACAGTCATTTTTTAGAGACGAACAAAGAAAGGAAAAAATGAATTGTGGGTCTGTTGCTACATTTTGAATTTTTTCCCCACTGGGCTATGTCCACATCCTCTTTTTTTAATTTCTCACTGAATGTTTGTCCAAATGGTGTTTTTCACTGCACCAGTCCTGGGGAATTGCTGTTCTTTGTATAAATACTGCTGTGAGCGAAGACTACTGTTATGGAGGCTCCTCTTTGTTCATGAAGATCAAGACATCCATGAGAAAACAAAATCAAAGTAACCTAATTCAGGTGACAAATCATACAGTCTGAATAACAACAAGGACCTGTCATTAATCCTCAAAAGTCACTGGAGCCACACATTGACAGACTGGACATATACAAACCTGCCAGAAGATGAGGCAACAGCAGTTGAATGCTATAGCTGTTCAATCTATTTACAGTTAAAAAAAAAAAACAAACCAAACCAAAAAAAAAACCAAAACCAACAAAAAACACCAAAAAAAACACCCCAAAACCACAAACAACCTAGCAAAACTACAAAGATATGCTTACAGGTAATTTGAAAACAAAAACAAACCCACCCAAATGGATGAATTAATGCTATATTCCATTATCTTTACTCACCTCTAGCATTTACTAAGAAAACCCCACATATTTTGATGGAAATGCTGGCCTCACTGAAGTCAGTGGTACTTCTGTCACTGCCTTCAACAGGCTCATGATTTCACTCCTGCAAATCCACCTGTCATTCCAGCCAATGGCATCTGTGAATCACCAGCACCAGTGGACAGCGGAATTTTATTTTTAGATACCTGTAAGTACTTTGGTTGTTTAATTATTTGTGCTGGCTCCCCAAAACTGATATAATGTAGTCCTCAAAAGATGAGGGCTTACCAAACTTTCACCTTTGTGCCTTGCTATCTGCTTCTTGCTACTTATTAATTCTTTCACATTAAATTTCTGTCCCATTAAAAAAAAAAAAAAAACAAACAACAACCCACAACTGCCAGTTAGCAAGGATCCCTGGAGGGCAAGGTCAAGCATTCCCTGCTCTGGAGGCTTAAAAGCCATTTCCCCAGTAGTGCCACCCCTGACAGAAACCACTTCTCAGGATCCAAACTCCGATTGCCCCAAATGACAGTATAACATCTGGTCTAACAGCTTTGCTTTTAATCCTTCCATAGACTCCTCAAATAACTTATTTTCTAACACGCGATTCAGTGCTATGTCAGTTCATGTGGTGATAGTCTATGTCATATAGGAAACTCAGATGACGTGACAGAGGCCATGCTGCCACTAGAAAGTCCTGGTTGAGCTGGGCACAGAGTGGCTGCAGAGCCACTATCTCCAGTCTACTGGCTGGCTTATCTCCTAAGGATCTAAGAGTTGTAAGATAAGGGGTCATTTGTGTCTGGCAAATAATTCACTGAACAGAAGCAAAGCTTTGGTGTCGCTTGGAAGACTAGAGAGGTCTGGTCAAAGCATTGGAGGGGGACCTCGAACAAAGCTGTGCATGTGAGGTACCCTTTTCATGTGCACTCATTGTGTCTCCTTGACAAAGCTGAGTATATTTTACAGGTTTATCAAGTCATGACATCCAAACAGCCATATCTAGAATAATGCATCCAAATGCCGGACGTGATGGGAGCATTAGAGGGAAAATCTATTGTTAGGATAAGCTTTAGAAGAAACTACACAAGAACAGTGTTCTAAAACCAAAATTGGTCAAACTGTCGGTTTCATAACACTCACCTGAAGTGGTGTCAGGAGCATTTCCACATAGAGTTTCATCCTCAAAACTCTGAATCTGAAATGAAAAGAAAGAGAGGAGAAAAAATTCTTATTGGTGGTAATGATGATGAGTGTACACCTTATTATGAGGGGGGTCAGGAGTAAAAACAAAAAAAAAAAATCATCCAGATATTTAAAAGTGAAAACATAAACTCATTCAGACGGTTTCTTTTTGGTTGTCTCCTCTTTAAAATATTTGTTCTTGTCATAAACAAGGCTCTAGTCTCAGAACCTTTCCAATCCTTGCTCAAAGTAATCAATACATAAAGGTTCCTAACATGCAAATACACTAACAATCTTGTTTGAACAGCCACAGAGAAATGTCCCTAGGAAAAAAAAAAAAAATTACTTAGTAGAAGAAACCCAAGGAAATGTAACCATATGGAGGCAGATTCTTGCCAAACAGTGTATGTAAGGTCAGAATTTTTTTTCCTATAGGAATGAAGTTCCATTTGACTTTTTCACAGTATCAAGGGGGGCATCATGTCATGGTGCTGCATAGACTCCTTCAGAAAAACACTTCAGAGAAAAGGGTATCTATTAGAAACAAATAACATATGAACATGCATGTTGGCTGTGTCCTCCATGCAGTCTGTGGCTCAGGAGAGCCTTAAGTCCTTCGTTGTCAAAGGCTGGAAGAATACAAGAGAAGGATCACTCTATATGCACCTGTTATTCTGTTCCCCCTAGGTCTGCTACTGGCCATTACCAGACTAACAATTTAGGTGGCCTGATGGCTTCAGCCAGTGCACGGTTCTTACAGCCTTAATTTAATGATGTGGTAGAGAATACTCAGAAGTTAAACAATATATACCCTGTCTATTTTGAGCATACAGTATTTACCAAACTGGTTTAGACATCAAACCAGGGAGTTCATGATCATCTGCATTTACTGCTCTGTCAATGTCCTCACCTTTGTGTGAGCCTCTAGTCACAGAGCTGCAAGTCCAGCATGCTAAGTGCTCTACAAAGACATATGAGCTGCTTTGGGGCTATAAATTTCCTGTGCTGGAGATCTCCAAAAGACACCCTCTTCCCTGCTGAGGCTGATAATCCGGCCCATACTCTAATTCTTGAGTCAGCTCTGCCAACACGAAGGTTGCACCACACCTTTCACAGAAAAATACACCTTTGGAAAGACTTGAAAATGTAAATATCCTTTCCTCAAGAGGAGTGCCACCACCTTAACCTGACCTCTTCCAATGCTTTAGAAATGGAAAACTTTTTTAAGCCACCCACCCTTTCCAGCCACTTACTCCTCCCTCCCTTCCTTCTCTTCCTTCCCTCCCTCCCTCCCATGCTCCATATGTTTTCAGGGAGCTGCCAACCATGTTATTTCCCCCCCTTTCTTTGATTCTTACAGTAGAGCCTAATTTTTGGACTCCTTCCTTTTCCTCATTCTTGAAGGATGGCTGGGAAGGGAAGAGTATTCCTGTCGACATCCCAGTGGAGTCTGAATGATTGGAGAGTATCCTACCATAGCCCTTTTTCTGCAATAGTACATCCAGAAAAACTGGTGCTCACAAAACAACTCTAGATATAAGAAAGGAACTGGCAAGTATCCTGGTCTCTGCTACTTCATGTTGAACCCCCACTGACAGCCCACTGTTGCTAAAACATACAGAGAGCTGAGTATCACGGACTTCGCAGACTGGATATGAGAACAAGCTGCTGTTCTGAGTTATTCTGGTTTTAGGACGCTCAGCTTACAGAGCGATAAAATATTTCAAACACTGCTATAAAACCAAGGCTAATTTTGTGATGCAACTTTCTGAAACTATTGGGCTCCTAGGTTCACCGTTAATGAAAGAATACTCCCTAATTAGTAAAAAAAAAAAATAAATAAGTGCTGGCGTACAATTCTGCATTCCTCTGAAGACTCCACAGCTGGTTTTCTGTGGACTTGGCTGCAAACAACACAACCTCTTTCTAGTTTCCAACCTGGAGAATACTTGCAAACTGCAAAATGCCATGAGAGCTACTACACTGCTTGTAAACAATAGCACATTTTTTGTATGTCTTTTGAAACACATTAACATTGATGAATGCACTTCATTATTTGTTTTCTACATCATTTTCTGCATCGTTTGTGTGGGGAAGCATAGGCACAAAAACCTCAAATGTGAGAGCATTTGTGAAAATTTGAACTTTAAATTCACAAATTAAAATCTGGACTGTTCATCCTGTCATAAGGAAAAGCAGAATGGCCAGTTGCAACCTAGCAATGCTGTTCAAATTTTAGATATTTTTGTTGCTGTTTAATGCTGTTGGACATTGTTGTGGATAAATACTTCTAAAACTGTCTGCTACATACATGGGACTAAATAACGCACAGATGTCACCATTTAGTCAGATATTTTGTAAAAGAAAAAGGAGCCTGGAGGACTTAGAGTAAGACTTTTCCACTTCACTGTATAAGCAAAAGCATTTTGCAGCCTCTCTCACACAAAACTCTCAAGGCATTAACTTCATTACAGCTTAAACACTCAGGCTAAAATCAGCAGGGAAACTAGATTCAGGCTTAAATCTACGCATAATATTCCCACACCCAGAGTTAAGTGGACACACAAATATCTCACTGATTGAGCCTTAAGAATCACATCTGTTCAACAATTGTTGAATTCAATAGTAGCTGAATGCAGTAAGAGATGGGACAAATGAAGATCATACCACGTTCACAGAAGTGCCAGAACTGAATAGGTATTTTCTTACATTTTGGATGTTTTGGGTTTTTTCTTCTCAAGCACAGTCATCAAATACTGAAAGTGCTTGGTCCACAAGCAGCTCTAGCTGCAGCGTGTGGAAGATGTGAAGGCTCTGATTCTCCAA